AATGACAAAGCGAAAACCAATCCATGAGGCAAAGCAGATTTGTGGTAACCTTGTAAATTGTAAAATACTGAAAATGCATACCAGAGCAAAAACCATGTGGTCAAAGGAACAGACGCAGGTTTGTGTTGAGGCACAGATCTTGAGAAGGATACAAAACATTTTCTGCTGAATTGGAAGCTGCCCAGGAGCACAGTGGCCTCCATAATTCTTACATGGAAGAAGTTTGGAACAAGCAGAATTGTTCAAAGAGCAGGCCGTCCAGCCAAGCTGAACAATCATGGGAGATGTGACCAAGAACCTGACATTCACTGGTTGAGTTCCAGAGATCATGTGTGTAGATGGGAGAAACTCGCAGAAGGACAACCATCACTGCAACACTCCACCAATCTGATCTTTATGTCAGAGTGGCCAGATGGAAACTTGGAATTTGCCAAAAAAAAACAGGCTGTGAGAAAAATAATTCTTGGAATTGAGGCTTCTGTATTTCAGAGGCAGGAACTGGTCAGTGTAGAAGGAAAGCTGAATGTAGCAAAATACAGAGAAATCCTTAAAGGGATAGCTCATCAAAACATGAAAATTAAGTCATCATTTATTCACCCTTATGTTGTTACAAAACTTTGTTTTAAATATATATTTATTTTATTTATTTTATGTGGTGGAGGTTATTGAGCTCCAATATTGTTTGGTTCTCAACATTCACAAAAATATTTTTTGTATTCCACAGAAAATCCGCAAATTCGAGATGTACAAAGTAGGGCTGGGCGATATGGGCAAAAATTCATATCTCGGTATTTTTGGGCCGATTTGCGATATACGGTATATATCTCGGTATTTTCGTTTTTGTATTTGGATTAAAAAAAATCTGTATTTAATATATATATATTTCACTTACCGCCCAATATTGTCCAACAAAACAATACATATTAAATAAAATGAATGTAACCATGTAAGCCTTTATATTATGTGCAAAAAAGGGTTAAAATCAGATTTCATTCTAACATTGTAACATTGCAATCTAAAAACAAAAATAAGGCTTTTAAAGCCGAAGTTAAATTCACTAAACTAAAAATGAAAATAAATGAGAACAAAAGCTCAGAGTTGTGTTAGGCTATTTTGATTACCCCATTACAGTCACTTTACAGTCAGTGCTATCATAAAATAGTCTTACTTGTAGGTATAAAATTCTAATTGTCACATTTATTGTCCAACTACAAATATTTCAGCGAAATTTATATTTTAGTCTGAATTATTGCGCTCCTATTTAATTGAGCTCTGTCTGTTTGGCGCGCATGCGCGTGGCGGCGCTCATTCACTGAAGTCTAGCGGAGAATCCCAAAGCAGAAGGTTCATGCACTTCTGACAGAAAAATGGAAATATTTCCATGGCTTTCTAACATTTACAGATGGAGAATATACCTGTGAAATGTAAGTTATGCATTCAGGAAGACAGCACATCTCAAACACATTAAACAGCGCGAGTTGGGTGTACTCACACTAGGTGTTTTGAACCGTGCCCGAGCGTGTTTGACCCCCAAAGCCCGGTTCGTTTGACTAGTGTGAGCGCTCCGTGCCGTTCGTTTAGCCGGCCCTGGCCCGTTTGGAAGAGGTGGGCCAGGGCACGGTTCGGTTGGGCTCGGGCGCGGTACGCATGTAGTGTGAGCGCTAACGGCACCGGAGCATGTAACAGATACTATTTTGTGTGTGCTACTGTCATCATTATGACCGCAAACATATTCTATTACTACTACTACACTACACTTTTCAATTAATTTAATTTAATCAAGTATATTTATGTTTATAATGGTTCTGGTTCTTACCTTATTGATGAACAGGAAATGTAGTTTGCAGTAAAGCTGCAAATTATTTCATTAATGTCAGCTGCCTCCGTAATAATTTTCTGATACATACAAGTGAAAATCAATGCACGGCATAAATTCATTATTATTAATTATTCGGCAGAATATTAGCGAAAGTGGTTTTATCCGTTATCTCATACATGACGTAAGCGTGCTCTGGCCCGGAATGTTTAGTGCAAGTGTGAGTGCAGGCCTCCGCTCCTCTGCTATCAACGAGAGGAACGTCTGTACTTTCTCAACAGACAACGAAACAGCCTCTTTTTGGTTGTTAAAAAAGGTGCGCTTGTTCAAAACAGTTGCGTTCGATCCTTCGCTGGCTGTGCTGATTTAAATCTAGCGGTTCTGTTGTGTTTGTGTCGCAAGTTCAGTGACGGAGGTAGCGACGATTCTCTCCGGCCAATCCGTGATCAGCAGAATTTACACGTCACGTTTTGGTAACGGTACGGTTCACTTGGAACCCCAACCGAAGTGGTACTAAAAAAAGTACCAGGTACCAGGTACTGTACCCAGTGGAAAAAACCCCAAAAGTGAACCGTACCGAGCCAAACCGTGCCGTACCATGCAGTGGAAAAGCGCCATATGAAGTGTCATCTCGTGCTGTGTATGTGTTGCTCAACAACTGTATGGCCAAAGACATCCATGTTCCCAAAGCCAGTCACCTGGGATGGCTCATCAACCAAGCGTTCCACGACTTTGAACTAACGGTACCTGTCATAGGCCCCATACCAGCCCAGGTAATGCGAGCCGTACCGTGCCGTACCATGCAGTGGAAACGCGCCATTAGTGTCTCTGTCAGCGGCACAAGCAGCCTTTCTGTTAGAGCATCTGAAGGGGAGAGCCGCTTAAACTAATATGCGAAACGAAACTATGTCTTACCAGTTTTTAAAGGCCTTAATAGGGCCTTTCGCACCGCTTTAGTTCCAGAACGAAATGTACAGTACTAAAGTACTGGGACGATTTTGCGCGAACTATTTCCCAGTACCATTTAAAGGGTTGCATTCGCACCGACAGTGTGTACTAATATATTTTCAGATGCGCTCGTATCAAACTACTGTATATCGATATAAATGGTATTGCCTCATATCGAATCGCTTATAAAGAAAATATCGATATATCGTACAAACTCTATATACCACCCAGCCCTAGTACAAAGCTTGTCACATAATACACTTGACCTGAGGCTTTAATTGCCGCTCAATATGCTTCATCTAAATATTAAAGGGATAGTTCGCCCAAAAATGAAAATTGCCATTTACTCTTCCTTAAGTTGTTCCAAATCTGTATTAGTTTCTTTCTTCTGTTGAACACGAAATAAGGTTTTTTGAAGAATATTGGACACGACCGTTGTTGCTTGTGTTGCATCACGCCAACTAGAGGCTGCAGTAGACACTCGACAAAGCGACCAAATGTTTCAGATCATTTGACCTTTCTGTCAGCATTCCATAAATAGAACAAGGCATCAGTTTACTGTTGTGAGATTTGTGGCCCACATTGTACCGCATCCAGTGGAGACAGGATTTTATTGTCTTTAGTCACGTCGCATCATATCGTACTGCTCACGTCCAGTGTTGACACGGTGCAAAAATGTGACAATGAAAGGGTTTAAATACTTTCTAAATGCACTGCAAATATTGCTTCACAAGTCTAAATTATATGTATGCTGTCATTTTCCCCAGTAGGAGAAGACATGGGAGAAGTACTCAGGACCAGATAGGACAGCAGAAAGCAAGGCAGACCCTGAGCTCCCTGAGGTCTGAGTGGAGTCTAAACATGGTCTAATGGACCGACTGTTTTTGCTGACCTTCGTCTTCTGTTCAGTCTCGTGGATTTTCTTCTGGGAGGTACGCTGGAAGAAAGGCAAGGAAAGTCAGATTGAAGAATGGCTCCAGAGACACAGCCTATCTGAATACAAGTATTTGTTTGAAGGTTAGTTCAACACTTTAAAAACAAACACTTTTAGTTTATAGATTTGCCTCACCAGGATTGTTTAGAATATTAAAGTATTGGTTTAGAGCAGTGGTTTTCAACCTGTGGGCTGCAACGGTATTGCAGGGGGGGGCCGTACATTTTTATTAATAGAAATAATAATATTGCTAATATATGTAAAAATGTGTAGTCCTAATTAAATATCACAATTTCACAAAAATATCACAACCGTTACTATACGTTCACTATGCATTCACTATTCAAGTTCGCTGATTGGTTTAATAACAATCAGCTAATTTATCTAACATATTTTTGCTGCATACATGCTACAACAGATAAATGGTAGGGGTGCTCCGATCAGGATTTTTGAGGCCGATTGTCGATCACAGAAAGCAGTATCTGCCGATACGATCACCGATACTGATCTTTTTAAAGGCTTCTTTTTATCATGGAGAATTATTTATAGTGATACTCCAATCAGGATTTTTAGACATTTATTCAGGGCCTGAATTTCATTTTTGAAAATGGGCATAATTCCCCTCTTTGGTGACTCTTCTGAGAGGGGATTTTTTAATTTGAGGAGTGGAGGGAGGCATTTTTTAGACATTTTTAAATAATATATATCAATGCGCCGCTTCGCTAAAGATAGGCGCCTAGTCTATTTTTGAGGGATCCAAGCCACAGAAAATACAAAATAAAAGTCAAAATCATGTTGATTTCAAAATAAACATCCTGTGCAGACTCCCGATCGTATTTCACATCACTATATCCTTGCTTGGAGGCAAGAAATGGATGACGAGAGGTTCATCCTCAAAGCTAAAAAACACACATTGATATATGACACCACAAATCCTTTTTACATTAACATTTCTAAAAAGGACAAGGCATGGAGCTTAATTTCAGGAGTTGTAGGAGTGGAAAAAAACAGAATTAAACCAGACAAAACGTAAACATTTAGCCAACCATGTTAGAACACACACAAAAAAAAAAATCTAGTAAAACAACATCGGACAGGCAAATCACATGGTCTCGCGAATCCTGTCGCATCACTTCTGAAACTCTTCTGGTGTGAGTTGGCACCGCGTGGAGGATGGAACAAAACCTCGTCGGAGCCATAATGCGCCGCAGTCGCGTGCAGTGTAAATACGGGGTAACACCGTGTCTACACTGAATGCGAGCGGCGCGGCAAAATACAATAGAACCCATTATAATCAGTGATGCTTTCTACACTGGATGTGACAGTAAACTGTAAACTGATGTAAACTCCCCGACAGTAAACTGATGCCTCGACACAAAAATTGCCGTCCGGTGTAGACACGGTGTAAGAGTGGAGGCCTCTTATCATGTTGCAAAGCTCATCGCAAAGATGCAAAGGCTGGAAAACCTCACACAATTGGTGAAAATTAGATTTTACCTGCCCGACACAAATAGCGGGTCCATTTAAAAAATTTTGTAGTGTGCCGTGGAAACATATGTGTTTAGTTGTGTGGGCTGTAAGTTAAAAAATGTTGGGAACCACTGGTTTAGAATATTAGAATTTCCTTGTTATAAAATGTGAAGCATAGTCATAGATCAAGTAGTATCCACTGCTAAGGAGCATATTTAGCAGAATCACTAACAGCACCTCAGACTATTAGGGCTCAAACATTTAAAGGGTCATGAAACCCCAGACTACATTTTCTGAGATTTTAGCAGAGGTGTTTGTGTTGCACATCATAGAAGACTGCACTTTGCATTGGCTACCAATAGCTGCTCGTATATAATTCAAGACAATTTTTAATTTAATTCAAGCCTACAAAACCACCACTGGCTCTGCACCCCTTTATCTAAATTCACTACTATATAGTGTATATATATATATACATATACATATACATATACATATATACATATGAAGAGTTTGGTTCCAAAACGTGATCAACGCCATTTAAAAAAAAAAAGAGTTTCCACCAAAATCAGTATTGTATCTGGTCGGCATTGAAAAGTAAATTTTTACTTTTACGCAAAATGCGATATCCACCGAGTTATTCTGCAGGGCTCTACGCTTACTTTTCTTTTTAGGAGCACTTGTGCTCCTATGGGAATTGTCCCGGATTTCCCGATGGCCAGCCTGATTTCCACAGACACGCAGAACTTGCAGGATTCATATATTGTCTTTTTGCGGCTTAATATTCACAGACACCAGTCCATATCGCGTTGAGAGTCAAGTGTACTGACCTACTTTTGATTTATTCGTCCAAAATGTGGCATATTCCGTCCGCGTTATGCTATAGGAATTCCGTTTTTATGACTGGATTCTACGAACCAGTCTGTGTTTTCCGCATCGCGGAAATTATAGGGCCGTATGTCTCAGAGTAGTCAGTGCAATTTGGGAAAGAAATCAATTAAATCAGTATGTGGATGTGTGTAAATATTCAAATATAATCCCTTTTGTAATCGTTAACATTTTCATAAGTAACTAATTTAATTACACATTTTTTTTCTTAGTAACTGTAACTGATTACAGTTACATTTATTTTGTAATTAAGTTACATAACGCCATTACATGTAACTAGTTACTCCCCAACACTGCATATTGGTACCCATATTGGTTTCGGTACCCAACCCTACTACTCACTGCGTGATGGTGCCTAGAGAACGTATTTAGAATGTCCCTAAAATTCAAGATATAGGGCAAAAATGCCCCTGTTTGAGTATTTACTAGGGGTGCTCCGATTTATCGGCTACCGATCACTATCAGCCGATAATCACGTTGGGATGTTTGATCGGCGGTCTCTAAAAGGCCGATCCCAAAAAAACGATCTCAAGCTGATGACGCTGCCATGAGAGCTTTGGCATGACGGGCAGCGTCA